ACAGGGTTTCACCGGTAACAGTCGGCCATCAGTGCGGCTCTAAATCAATTCTGACGCTTTCTAGCGTAAGCACCGACCATCGACGTCAGAGTGGAACGTCCGTGCGGCGAGATTCGCGGTCGACGTCGATGGTATTGATGGCGCTGACGATGGCCGCTAACTACAATTGACTTCGACCTCTGCAGCCGCCAGACTCCGAGGTAGCCGTTTCAAGGGGCAGCTTTTGATTCACTGCCTGCCATAACGTTGCCAGACTGACAGTTCACGATTCCTCAACCGGTGATAACCGTGCACCGCTCGCGCGCCATTTGCTTCTTCCTTCGAGGACGCCTTAGAAGAAAACGTGCAAAACCAACACTCTCCGATTTTCACGAAATTTATACCTGGTATAGTGCGCGAAAAAATATTCCACGCGTATTTTCTTTTATCGAAAATCGTCCACTCTGAAGGGGAGAAAAAAATCCCACAATGTCGAGGGTTGACGTGTACTTTCTGGGATATCTCGGGAACTAGAGGGTCTAGGAAAAAGATCTCTTTTTTTAAACTGCGTGTTTTTTAACGATAATTTGGAAAAATAATCGTTTGTTTAAGTAATACATTAAAAAATCTGGTGCAAGTTTATCGAGATTAATATCGCAGGAGGAATTTTGAAAAATTCTCGAGAGTAATTCCAGACTTCCACTCCCAGTATCTACCTTCGCAATACGAATTCTTTCTTTCCCAACGATATACAATAAATACACGTTAAAGCCCTTCATCCATCGAGCACAAAGGACCATTACAGCTGTCATAAAGCGTCGTTGATTCCAGTAATAACTATCCTAGCAAAAAAAAGAAACAAGTGAAAAGGACTACTTATGTTCGTATTGTTAAGACGTGACGCGCGTTGAACTCTTCGAAACGATCACTCTCGCTGAACGAAACCGTACCGAGAAGGTAAACGGATCTGTCAACGGCAAAGTGGATTTTCGACAGCGCGTCGTGTTTCACGGGACGAAAAAAACGATAGGAGAGCCTTAAGAGGATGTTCGATTGCTCGTGTGCAACGAGTTACATCGAACACGGTGTTTTCGTTAAACGGTAGTTTGCAAATTAGACTCACGTGCTCGTCCACAGAGTACGTCAGCTCTCCGTCGTCGTAGAGAACGAACCATCTTCTCTGCCATCTCTGAAAAATCAAATTTCAAAAATTCACGTTAGTTTGCAGAAGGAAAGAAAAATTACAAATAAATTTAATATCTATTTGAGGTGAACAATTTTTCATATTTCAGCAATTTACGAGAGAAATATCGCGAAAGTGGCTGCTCGATTACGAGTATTTTATGGAGGTAGGCTACGTTTACGGGCGTTAGACGGTCGAAAGGACGTTGAAAGGGACGATTAGTTGAGAGCAGCCGGACGAGGAACGTAAAGAATTCACTTTCGATGACACCCGGTCGTTTTCATGGAAACACTTATTGCATCAAGTGAAAAGAATTCCGCTGAACCTGCTCAACCCACATGCAGGAATCTCTAAGGTCTCCCGACGCGGCAGCTGGACAATTAGCACGCCGCCGCCGTTAATTAGAAACAAAGCTTAAGGAGACGAAGAAGCCGTACCGTTTTGCTCGTCAACCCTCGCCGTTTCTTCTTCGTTCGTGCTCAATATCGAGTTAACTTGTCCTTCGAAGTATGCACTTGAAACTTTATTTGAGAAAAAATTTGTAAAGTACCGGTTTCGTATTCACGCAGAAGGAATATCATATAGAAAGTAGAAGAAAATTACAGACTTTTCTGTACTGTTAGAATTCGCTTGTATAGTAATACGTGACGATAGCTACAGAGAGACACAGACAGACACAGTGAAGGCTTCATTCCAACCGGAGTATTACAAAATTCTGAGAGGCAACTGCAACGCAAACATTCCACACCCAGTTTCCTCGGGCAGTATCACATAGATAACACCCAACAACTCATTCTAATTACCCAACGATCACCTACATCTCCTACGTATCGAGTCCACTGTCCGCGCCTCCGCGTTCTTCACGCCGTATCCGAGGATATCGCGCGACGCTGTCAGATAAGCGTGGGCGACGTGAATGAAACGGGCTCGAGGATAGCTAGAGTTAGGTATAACTGTGACTGGTTTTCACGGGGACACACACAGTTCACCAGGGGTCGATCCCCGTGGGTTGATCATCCGCGAGGGGACGCGACGTCGTCGCCGTTCCGTCGTTCAAGCAGGCAGGCAGTTAGAGGTACCGTTGCGAAATTCTCCGACATCGAGTGAACGGGAGGAGCGGAGAAGGAGAGGAAAAAAGGGGAACGGGGAAAAATCGAGAGGTGGAGAAATTGATGGACAGAGAGAAGTAGAGAGGGAGAGAAAGAAAAAGGGAGAAAAATGGGGGGAGAGACGGAAATAGAGAAAAAGAGGAAAATGGGGAGAGAGAGAAAGGGGGGCGAGATTTCAGCCTACACGAGGCGGCGGTATCTTCATCTGGTAATTATTCAGCGGGCCTCGTACGGGAGAGCCGCACGGCACGTGCGTGGGAAGATCTCTTCGTGGAGGAAGAGGAAGACGAAGCGGACGAACAATGCCGCGGGATTGAGACGGCGCGAGAGAAAGCACGGAACGGGCCCGTAATCTCTTCCTCGTGGAACGCTAGCGAGGGCTCTCCGGGCTCTACACAGCAGCCTCGGCTTCTCGCCTCGATAGAAATGGTGGGGAACGTGCGAAAATCCTCTGGCACACGCTACGTTACTATCATATCCTGAGAGATGCGTTGGTGGATGGTCGGTTACCCTTTGTCACCACTTTCGATCGAGTTATTTTCGGATCTGTGGGAGAGATCATCGTCGTTCTGTCGTCCCCTTTCCAAGAACGACTCCAGTAGGTGAGAAACGCGAAGATTTATCAATGGAAAATTAGAAAAGTAGGGACCAAGAGGATCTCTGAAAAATTGTCATCCAAGTTAAAGTAATAAATATTGGAAATAAGAGTTGGCAATTTTTTCCGCAAAATGAACAGCGGAAAGCATTGTGAACAGCTACCAATTAGAATTGGTCAAAGTTTCGCAAGAAATAGCGCACGTCGTAATTTCGTGCATCGAGGGACCCGCATATTCCTGACCTACCACATCTTCCTGGTTTCAACAGCCGGTCGTTAACACCGCCCACCAACCAGGCTGTTTCTGGTTCAACCCGTTCCGATCATCGATGAGTAAAATCACCGAGGTTCCAGCGGTTACGACCGAGATAACGACCTCGACCATTCTTTTAACACTTCTGCCCTATTCACCGTGCTTTTCTATCAACGCCGCGAGATAAACAACAGCTGCGAGCAATCCCTGCTCCTTGAAGCATTCGCGACCACCGTGCATCGAAAATTATTGAAGAATTCTCGAAAAAAAAAAAAAAAAAGAAAAATTTAGCAATTTCAAGAATGTTTTCAGGAATTCTTCATTACTAAAATCTATCGAAGGAAATGAAATTTCCATTGAACTCTCTGTAAGATTGATTGCACGTTCAATTCTCCAAGATTTATTTGGGAAATGGTTGTTGAAATTTTGGAATATCAAATGGGCTGACCAGTGGAGAACAGAGGCAACTTGGGAACGCTGACCTACCGCACCTTCTTCCGGGTATAGCGACGATCGTTTTGCATCGCCCACGGATCAAGGACTTCTGGTTTCATCGGCGCACGAGCGTCGCGTCGATCATCCGGGACGGGATGCTTCCTCGACAGGAAGGTGGGCAAAAAGGTGAACATACCACTTTGTCACTGGTGACGCGGGGAATTTCGCGTCGCCACTATCCTGGGGACACTGATCCTGTCTCGACATCTCGCCAATTACTATCTAACACTGTCTGCACGCTAAACGTATTCACCGCTGAAATTTGCAATCTTCGATTCGTCCTTAAACTTTTGTAAAACTTTGTAATCTTCGATTCTTCCTTAAATTTTTCAACGTAGAAGAGAAAAATTTGCAATCTTCGATTCGTCTTTAAACTTTTGTAAAACTTTGTAATCTTCGATTCTTCCTTAAATTTTTCTACGTAGAAGAGAAAGATTTCCAATTTTCAAATTAATCCTCAAACTTTTCAACGCAGAAGAGAAAAAATTGCAATCTTCGAAATTAATCCTCAAACTTTTCAACGCAGAAGAGAAAAAATTGCAATCTTCGAAATTAATCCTCAAACTTTTCAACGCAGAAGAGAAAAAATTGCAATCTTCAAATTAATCCTCAAACTTTTCAACGTAGAAGAGAAGAATTAGTAATCTTGGAAATTACATAAAAATACGAATAAATAGCATTTTCCACGATACAGATCACGATGCATGAGTCAAGAAGCGCGTGAATCGGTGTCATAAAGCACAGGATTAAATTTCGCATAATTAGAATTGGATCTTTGGCTTTCCGCATACTGTACACCGTGTACAACAATGATGCACAGATAAGAGAAATATAGCGAAGTCGTAAAAACAGCACGTAGCGAAGACAATAGAGCGTTTGAGTATGATTCATGTGTCTCGTTACGTTCCTACATGCAAATCGTATGACTAAGACAGAACTGAAGACACGATTTTCTCGTAGAACGCTACGCATTGTACGCGCCTCTGCGTAGACCACTCTCGAGCGGTAACATTAATTCGTAAATTTCCCTTGTTAAAGCTAACGAATCGTACACCTGGTTATTATAGTAACAGCGTTTAGATTACGGTTTGATTACCCAGTTTCTCATGCCGTACGATACCATAATTGCCATGGAAAATTATGGGAATCGAACGGTTTTCATGTTTCCATAAATATCCTTCTTATTATACAACCAACGCTTCACAAACAGAAACATGACCGAACCTTCAATTTATACAATAACCATCGTTCCAAGATGAATTTTGTATTTTTCTCTATCGTGAACTCTGAAGAAACTTTTACAGAAATTTGTCCCTTTTAATTTGAAAAATTAGTCCAATTCTCCACAAGTGTCAGTCCGCAAGGAACCTAAACCTGACACTTGTAGAGTCAGGGACTA